CTATTGGTGTTATCAAGTCTATACGCTAATTACACGTCATATGGGTTGACAACCAAAAGAAAAATAGGTACGGTAGTACACAAAACGCAACTTAAATGTCAATAAAATACATCGCATTGAGTTCAAAAAGGTCCAAATCTGAATAAATATTACCCATACTCAATTTTATTCCATTTATTCTATAAAACCAATTTTCCTACACACATTTGTCCTTTTGCCAATTCAGCAAAAGAGTCCTTCAAAACTCCAAACCTAGATATTACAGACAGAATCCAATTGTAATAAAATTCGTCGGCCATTTACAGAAATCGCATAAAATCATGCTTTACTGTGTCCCAATGCGTATATACTCAATTTAATCCGTGAATTTATACCGATTCTGCGAATCAGGACGAATACTTCTATGGGACACCCTGTATAGTTTATGCGTCCAAGAGGATCATGATCAAAAGTGCTTGTTATAGGGGTGAACGGTTTGAACGAAGGCTGTCTTGAAATTAGGGCTTGGTTACCGTGATAAGCGGGACGTGCTTGCAATTTTTATTCTGTTTATTGAGTCGGTTTTTGGTAGTTCAGTTAAATTATGTGGAATTTCTAAAACACGTTGTTTAGTTTAAACCCTGAACTAACTAAATAAGTAAGCACGTTTTGACTGCTTCATATGACTTTTTTTAAGGGGGGAAAATCATCGAATGAGTGCTCCTGTCTGGGTGAGGCGGGAGGGAGTGTCAGACTCTTACTGACTAAAAACCACCCCGTTCCCACTCCTGCACGTCGAGCCGGAGCCCCGGTTACCCGTTAGGTTCTCCGCGACTGCTTCATAGGCCTATGAGATTATCACTTAACAATAGACGACTTTATTTTTAAAATCTGATTGGTACTAAACAAAACTTTCTACTGCCGAAAAAGCTATTAAAATGACATGAAGATAGACTTAATTTTAGGTCAAATATCGTCAGTTAGAAGTCAGGCATCCAGAAATACTTTTAAAATCACACAATCAGATACCTCCGCATTACCTCGAAACCAAAATAAAAAAGGCGTCCTATTCGCTTCTCATTTCACTATCTTACATACAGCGTAATATCATTGAATACAAAATCAGGCGTCCCCAAGGCCCCGGGGAAGGTAATAAGTACAATATTCCTCCCACCCTAAGTCCAGCCGTAATTTGCCACAAAATATGGCGAAAACAGAGAAAAGAAAATACTTAAATCCAATATACTGGTTACCTGTAAATTGATAAGGAAGGCACGGCCTACCGCTGTCATGATTTACACTGTTTTTTTTTTATTTTAATAAAGAACTATGAGGCTGAACGTAATGTGGATGTTTTCATTATCTTGTGGGTCGGTAGAAAACAATATTGTTTTCTTTTCTATGTTATTTTATTTTACTTGAGAATGTATTTTTTTTTTACTTTATATTAGGATTAATAGTAATATACGTCTCATTTTAGTATTATGTTTCTGTCCATTTAAGAGCATCGTTTTTCTTAACTGATAAAAAAATATTCATGCAACATTCTAATCAATTTGTTTGGTGTAGTTTTTGATAGAATTTTTTTTCGGGGAACATATATTTGTTTATTTTTGTGGAAACTTATTAACTTCAATGAAATTAGCTCGTAAATAACAAAAAGGGCATAGGTATATTAATTTAGTAAAAGCGTTTATTATTTTTCAAGAATCCTTTCTTATTTACTTAGAATAAAAAATATATTTATGTCATATTATGTAAATGCCAAGACAAACTGAATGTCACTTCAGATAAAAATGACACACTCTAATTTTCAAATTAACTCAGGCAAAGGTCGACTCACAAAAAACAATATTTTTATTTACTAAAATTGAACAAGACACATATACTGAGTTACACAGAATAATGTTTTTACGCATAATTTCTCCTTGTATTCCAACCAATTCTGTGTCCCGTAAATCGATAGCACATAGCTTAACCGAGATCCGCCGCAGGTGAACCAGCTGTCCAAAGTTTTGTACCCTTGTCACCTCAAAAATGTCATGTTTATTTTTATTTTTTTTCTCGTTTGATGGCAAAAAAGTGGTTCGTGATTATTTTTTTCGAAGGTAAGGGACTGTTGCTATGGGACAAAAATTGTAATTTTCTTGTTGTAATTTGTTTTTTGTGATGTGTTTTTTTTTGTTTTAGTTACAGTTGTTTCAATATTGAGCTAAGTATATTATACTATATGCACCTGTCACGTTAAGAAGTGTCTAGCACTCCCTATAAGAGGTTATCCCTCTTAGGGATAAATATGTTGAAAATCGTTGTAGATATTTTTGAAAAGACTACTTGTTGTTATACCTAAAACGCATAGACTGAAATACATTATCTATGTTAAAGCTTACCATAAGTAAACCGTAAGTAGTAGATATGTTGAATTAAAAATATGAATAAATATTACCATTTATTCATATTCATATATTCATATTCATTCATATTTTTAATTCACA